CTCCACAGACAAGAGTGAGGGCCATCTCAGAAGGTGAGAGGCCCGAAATATGGCATGGTTAGTTTTTATGGGCTGCATAATTTCATAGGTTAATGAGTGGGAGGATTATTCCAACTATTTTGGGGAAGGGGCGGGGATTTCCAGGAATTGGGCCACTCCCCACTTTTTTTTAAAAATTAATTTATTAATTTATTTATTTTTGGCTGCGTTGGGTCTTCGTTGCTGCGGGCAGGCTTTCTCTAGTTGTGGCAAGTGGGGCTACTCTTCTTTGCAGTGTGCAGGCTTCTCATTGGGTGGTTTCTCTTGTTGTGGAGCACGGGCTCTAGGCGCGCAGTAGTTGTGGCTCGCAGGCTGAGTTGCTCCATGGCATGTGGGATCTTCCCAGACCAGGGATCGAACCCATGTCCCCTGCACTGGCAGGCGGATTCTTAACCACTGTGCCACCAGGGAAGTCCCCCACTTTTTGATCTTTGATGGTCAGCCTTGGAACTGTCCTGGTGCTGGTGGGTGTGTCATTTAGCATATGCTAATGTAGTACAATGAGCATATAATGAGGCTCAAGGTCCCCTGGAAGTCAAATCTTCCACCATCTTGCACCTAGCCGGTTCTAACTAGTTTTTGTCATGACCTAGAGCTACGTCATTCTCTTAAAGGTTGTGCCCTGTCCCCTTCCCTCCTGTTTCATTATTGCCATTGTTCTCTCTGTGAAGTGTGCAGCAAGGTCCTTGCTCAGAGTGAATAAAAGTGAAGCTGTAAGGAAAGAGTGGTGGCAGTTTTCAAAAGCCATCGGGGAAAACTGGGGGCCTGGGCCAGCCATGGAGGCGTGTGAGGGAAGGTTCACGGCTCGGTGTTGATGAAGTTGGTGGAGCTGGTGGTATGAATTCTGAGGAGGATGTGGGTGAGGACTGGAGTGTAAGAGCCACTTGACTGGAAGGGCACCCCCTGTGTGGTGTGAAGCTGGGGGTCTGTCTGAGCCACCTCCCCCTTGAGGGACCCAGATTTCTCCAGCTTCCTTTGCTCCCTGATAGGAACGTGTTTATGAAAGAGGCCATAACCTTGCAGTGGTGACAAGGCTCAGAGCGGCACATGTTGAGGGGAGCTGGAACCACCAAGACCACTGGGACCCAGAAGCTAGAGGGTCAGGAAACAGAGGGAGCCTCACAGAAAAATAGAGGGGGCAGGGGTGGGGGCTATTAATCCAACCCGTTATTTAATAGCTGAGAAAAATGAAGACCAGAGAAGGTAAGACAGTGGCAGAGGAGGGACTCTTAGCAGATCATCCATTCCTCATCCAGGTTGTTTCCATGGCTCCCAGGCAGGGAGGTGGGGAGGGAGACATCTAAGAGGAGGTGAGTCTCCTCTAGGAGCCACTAACCACGTGAGGGATAGGCTCTTGGGTGTGCTCCTGGGAGACTGGGCAAGACATTTAATTACCACCTCCCTAACTCCCCAGGCAAAGACTTTTTTCCGGCATCTCAGGATGAAACAGGAGGGAAGGGGGCAGGGCACAACTTTTGAAAGAATGATATAGCCTAAGGACGTGACATAAACTGATTAGAACCAAATGGGTCCAAGATAGTGGACAAGTGGCAGACTTCCACTAGCTCTTGAGCCTCAGTATACGGTCACTGTGACACACCAGCAAGCTAAATGACACACCCACAGGCGCCATGACAGTTCCAAGGCCGGCCATAAGGATCAAAAAGTGGGCGGTGGCCCAATTCCTGGAAATCCCCGCCCCTTCCCCAAAGAGCTGGAATACTCCTCCCACTCATTAGCCTATGAAATTACCCACCCCTGTAAGAACTGACAACCCCATACCTGGTGCCTTTCTCGCCTTCTGAGATGGCCCACACTCTGCCTGTGGAGTGTGTTTCTGTCTAAATAAATCCACTTCTTACCTATCACTTTGCCTCTCACTGAATTCCTTCTGTGCTGAGACACAAAGAACCTGAGCCTCAGTAAGTCTAGACACCAGGTGAGTAATTCTAATTAAAAGACCGTGGGTTCGAGTCCCAAGCAGGGATTTGGCCAGGTTTGAGTCCCGGCACGTGGGCTCAGGTCCCAATCAGAGTTACACGGTTTCAGTTGAGGGCTGGTGACATGCGCAGAGGAAGGATCTCCTGAGGAAGGGGTAGTGGTGAGGAGATAGACCACTGATGCAGGGATAGCATTTGCAGGCAAAGCAGCTGCTCATACTTGCCATCTTCACAAGGAAGCTGAGGTTAAGAGTTTCAAAACAAGTTCATTGCCAGTAAAAAAAAAAGAAAAAAAAATCAATCAAGACTTCAGCTCAGCAACTGCTCAGCAGCAACTCTGTCTCCCCACCTCCATACCCTACGCTAGATTTGTCTTAGTTTTCACCTACAACACCTCCTAGAGGCCTGGCCTTCATTCTCCTAGCCAATCACCATCTGGTTCCCAGGGCGAAATGCAATATCCAAACCCAGAGCAACAGCCTCCGGTCCTGGTGGTGGATATCAGAGCCTCAAGGAAAGGCCGGCCACCACAACGTTCTCCCCAGTGATGTAGCTGGCGTCTGGACAGCACAGGAAGGACAGAGTCCCCACGGTCCTCTGGCTGCCCTGCCCTGCATGGAGGGGGGACAGAACTGCAGTCTCGATGCCTGTGCTAATGAACTCTGACCTCTGTCTCCCTGCTGACCTGGCTGGAGGGCCCAGCATACCTCCATCCCTGTTTCCCACCTCCCAGGCTCCTCCTGTCCTCCAGCTCCCGGCTCCCAGGCTGTGCAACCCCAGACTCGTTGAGAGGAATTTCTGATAAGCCAGGATGCAATCAGAGTCCTGTCTCCTCTGGGGACCCCACCTGCCTCTGTGATCCACAGAGATTTTTAAAAGAGTTTTGCACAGCCAGATTATATTCAACCTGAAAAAATTCAGAGAGTCAGTGCTCGATAGGATTGTGAAAGGCAAAAGCCTGGCTACTCTTGCCAGATGTGTGCCTTTTGGCGAAGATGACCCTGCTTAGGGCCCGGGGCTGGGGATTCCACTGGATCTTCTCACAGAAGCCAGAGCCCTGATTCTGCTACAGAGGAGTGAGAGGCTGCTGTTCTCAGAGCCCCGAGCGGCTTGCCCAGCCAGGGAAAGCACAGGGTGGTTGGCATGGGAACTGCAGGCAGCTGCTGAATCCTCACCACTCCGCTGAAGTCAGTCTTGACAAGTCCTGGAGACACACCATGCGCTCGGATGCCCTTATGCGGCCAGCTCCACAGCCAAGGACTTGGTAAGTCCCAGTGGGGCAGTTTGCTGGTGGTACTGGTCCAGCATCTAAGAAGGAAAAAGAAACAGTAAAAGTACACTGCCAGTGAGGGGAGGAGCTCTTGCTGAACCTCCAGCGCTGTGGAGGATAAACCTGCTCTCCCTTAGACCCAACTCAGACGCGCCTCCCACTCTACCCCTGGGAATTACCAAGGAACAAAATTGAAGCAGGAGCAGGATGAAGCCCGGGCTTAAAGAAAGGTCAGGAAGGCAGAAGCTATGTTGGTCTGTGCTCGACCCAGAGAGAAAAGCTTAGGTGCGAGGTCAGGGAATGGGACTGAAGAGACCCAAGGCCAGACCCCTGCTGTACCATGACTTGGTCGACCTTGGGCAAGTCACTTAAGATCTCTAGGTCTCAATTTCCTCATCTGCTATGTGGTTTATAAGCGCTGCCTGTCGATAGTCACAGGAATGCCATGTCTCTACTGCCCCCTGGTGTGAGTTTTTAAAAGAACTCTCCTTTGAGCCCATACAGCCCCTCTGGTGCCAGACTTGGTGAATGCATGTTCAAGACACCCCTTTCCTTCAGGAGAATAGAGTACCTCTCCAGGGTGCGTGGCTTGGCGAGCAGAGCATAGACTGGATTTCAGCTCCCACTTGTCCCTGTCCCTGGACCTGGTGCCTTTGCACAGTGAACAACCTGTACAACCGTCCACGGCAGCCCTGGGGGTGTGGGGTTTGAATGAGATAAAGGCAATGAGTGTGATTTTAAGTGTGGACCAGAGAGATGTTCAGTGTTTGTGCACTTGGATATTTTTATTACACAGGATCAATATTCACTTCCCCAACACCCTGGCATCCATTCCACTGCCCCCTTCCAAAGCTCCCCACTCACTGTGTGGAGGTACATAGACAGCAGCAGTGGCAATGAGCACCGCAGAGCCTCCCCTGTAAGGAAACAGACAGGTGTGATGAGGTAAAAGGTGAGCACAAATGTGAAGCAGATGCTGCCAGAAAATGGGCTTCTGACGAGGAGACAGAACTGAGCTATAATGGGAGAAGAAGGGAAATTGGGGATGGGGCCAGGGTCTCGGGGGAGAAGTAAAATCTTTTGGGCCTGAGAGGGTGCTGACACAGCCTCCCCTGCTGGGAAAGCCCAGGACTCCCTGGAACCAGTCACAGGGGCAGGGCCAATCAGTAGCTGGGTCTCTGGAGAACAGAGCTGGGAGCCTGGAGGCAGCCGTCAGGGTGAGGTCGGTGCAGCCCAGGGGACAGCCACTCCCATAGGAGAGAAATGCGTTTAGAGTCAGCTGAGTTTCAAATCTAGAACTGTTTCTGATTCAGACAAGAAGAGGTGAAAAGCAAAGAGGGGAAAACTTGGCTACCAGAGGCATGCAGGGGAGGGACTGAAGGGGCTTCCTCTGGCCTCTTTGGAGGGGTTTGGCTCTCTGGGTTACACTACCAGGCCCTGGGCCTGGCATCTGGCCTGCCATTCTCAGGGGACACAGCCTGTCAGGGGTGATTGGGGCTCTTCTGTGGGTTTGGAATTTGCCGACCACATTCCTTCCAGACAGTCCCTTTCGCTGTGTTGGCCACATCCCCGGGGACAAAGTAGCCTGCAGACGTGGTTCAGGAGGCGACGGGGACAGACCCTGGCAGCCAGAGCACACTCCTTCTACCTCCTCTCCTTGGGATATTCCACTGAGGGCTCCTTCCCCAAGTGTCCCCTTGGTGTAGAGGACAGCAAGGCCGAGTCCCCCCAACTCCACGGACCCTCCCTGCCCTCCCCCCTTTTCTCCACGAGGGGCAGCAGCCGGCTCAGCAGCACAGCCGGGACCTCACGTTCACGACCAGGATCTGCAATCAGAACAGGGTGGGGAAGCAGCCACCTCCGCTCCCTGGAGTCCCATGGGGAGGAGCTGGGGGTGTGGGTGCTCTTCTCCCAGAGTGCGGAGGAGGGGTCTGAGGGACCTGCTCGCACTTGGCTCACGAACCCTTCACTGTCATTCACGCCAGACTCTCCTCATGGCACGTCACCCTCCAGAGAACCAGGTCAGTGAAAACAGTTATCAGGAAAGGACATTGGGAAAGCTGGGGTGTTAGTGCCTGCTTTAATGAGGAGAGGTGAGAATTTGCACAAGGTAAACAACGGTGCTGTTTTTAGGGGCAGATGCGGAAATCTGACTTTCCTAGAAGAGCCTGAGGCTGGGCAAGGGAGGGAGGGAGAGGAACTTGGCTGGGAGAGCCAGGGAATGTGAGAACCAAAGAGAGAAAGTGGGGCAGGGTCTGCAAGGAGAGGAAGCAAGGGGTGGTCAGCGGAGGAAGACTCGACAAGGAGGAAAGAGGGAACGGCTCTACCTGATCGCAGGACCCACCTCTGCGCACATCGGGGGAGGGGTCAGGATGGTGCCCTCAGAACAGCAGGGGCAGGGAGTCTGCAGAGGCAGCAGGAGTCCCTGCTGTGCTTAGTGTGTTCCATCTGGGATGCCGGGCAAGGGTCCCTTTTCTCAGCCGTGTCTGAGGACAGGTGAGGTGTCCCTGGGACAGCCAGACTGGAGGGATCAGAACGGGTGCCAGTGAGTCGAGACTACAACAACCTCAGGCTTCTGAGCCAGGAGAGAGGATCTGGCCCTGAGCGGGTGTGTCCCGTCACACCTTGCGCTTGGAGGAAGGCTGAAGTAGAGAAGGTCTGCAGCATCATTGGCCACCGGGGCAGATTGACCCAGGTGTGCTCTACCCGTTGGGACTGGGGGCTGCGGTTCCAAGGAACAGGGGGCAGCTGGGAACACGTGCAGGTGTGTGAGTAGACTTGGGAGACGGAGAGAACCTCACAGCTCCATGCTCCCCGGGCCTCACCTTGTCCCCCACCAGCTTACCGGCCCCCAGGGTGCTCCCCACCAGGGGGTTGACTGCAGCACTCACACCAGGAATTTGATGCCCCCAGGACTCTAGGGCCTGGGGGGAGACAGAGGCAGCACAGAGGGTGAGGAAGAGACGAAACTGTGAATCAGAAACCTCCTCCCTTTAAGTCCCATGTACCTGGTGCCTCTTCTCTGGAAAACATAGCTGGCTGATTCCCACTGTCCTTTAAGGCTCTTCAAAAACAACCTTTTCCCTGTGAGCCCCCAAGAAGAGTACCCACTCCCACAGTGACCACGATGGGGTCCCCAGCCTGGCATCTCCCCTGCTCCGGTCCACAGACCAGCCCCTGTCATGGGCATTGTCCCAGCTTCACCAGGCTTCGGGCATCTGTACCCTGCAGGGACCTGCCAGGGGCAGAGTCACAGTCCTCCTTAAGAATGTGGGTTTGGGGGCTTCCCTGGCGGCGCAGTGGTTGAGAGTCCGCCTGCCAAGGCAGGGGACACGGGTTCGTGCTCCGGTCTGGGAAGATCCCTCATGCCGCAGAGCGGCTGGGCCTGTGAGCCATGGCCGCTGAGCCTGCGCGTCCGGAGCCTGTGCTCCACAATGGGAGAGGCCACAACAGTGAAAGGCCCGTGTACCGCAAAAAAAAAAAAGAATGTGGGTTTTGGAGTGAGGCAGAGCTCGGTTCAGAATCATCCCTGACACTTAAGGTCTGTTTCCCACCGTAAAGCTGTTATAACAACATTGAGCGCCTCACACACTAATGTGATGGGGTGTTGGTATATGTCTGGCACTGGGAAATATCCAAAATTATCTTAAGGAGTGTTTTGACTTCCCTAGGCTGGGTCTGTGTGTTCTGATCTCTGCACCTGTATCACCCCCATCCCTGACCCCTCAGCATGGACAACAGCCACTCCCACTTCTCAGCCTTCCCCACGTGGCACACAGTGCCCGTCATGTTCAACCGCTCCCCCTGCAGCACCGCCACCACCCAGTCCACGTTCTGCTGCTTCCAGATGCTGACCACCACGTGGGTCCCATCCTGGGCCAGACGCCAAGGTATGGTGAAGCTGATCCCGCAGCAGAGATGGCTGTGATGGCTTCAGCCCCTTCCCTACCTCCACCTGGGAGCCTGATCATGAGACATAAAATGTATTCCCCAGTGTCCCAGACTCCAAATCTGTCTGAGAAAAAAAGAAACTAACTTTTACTGAGCACCTACTATGTGCTGAGCTTTCACAGTGTCCTAGCATCCATTCTATCATAAAGGCATTATTATCCAAGTATAATATTTTACAGAAGTGGTTAAGTCAAGTCACAAACTGCCCAGAGAAACAAATCTGGAGCCCGGATTCAAATCCACGTCTGAGTCCAAAGCACCTGCTCTTTCCAGCTTCTCACTCTGCCTCCTGGGAAATGGGAGTGTTTAATGACAGAAGCTCACTCTTGGAAAGATGATAGTTTCCAGAGCTGGGTAACAGGATAGTGGATTGGGCAGGGATGTGGGAGGAGGAAATTGACAGCAGATCCACTCTGTAATGGGGCTGCTACATCCCTTGGATGCATCCCAGTTGGGTACTCCCGTTACTCAGCTACATGTGGACTCGGTGACCACAGCCATTTTGGCAGCCAGTGCACAGCTCCTGTCTGCCCTACTGCCGTGCATTCTCATTGAGAGAGGGAGTGGCCCAATATGTATGCCATCTGTATGCTCTGGACTCCCAAATTTATGTCTCTAGCTCAGACCTCTCTCTCGAACCCCAGACTAGCGTATTTAAATGTCTACATTTTTACAAAATTATTTTATTGAAGTATAGCTGGTTTACAATGTTGTGTTCGTTTCTGGTGTACAGCGAGGTGATTCAGTTATATATATATAGTTTTTCCTAATCTTTTTCATTATAGTTTATTACAGGATAGTGAATATACTTCCCTGTGCTATACAGTTGAACCTTGTTGTTTATCCATTCTGGGTAATAGCTTGCATCTGCTAACCCCAAACTCCCAATCCATTCCTCCACCACACACCCTCCTTGGCAACCACAAGTCTGTTCTCTATGTCTGTGAGTCTATTTCTGTTTCGTAGGTAAGTTCATTTGTGTCATATTTTAGATTCCACATATAAGTGATATCATATGGCATTTGTCTTTCTCTTTCTGACTTACTTCACTTAGTATGAATCTCTAGGTCCATTCGTGTTGCTGTAAGTGGCATTATTTCATTCTTTCTTATAGCTGAGTAGTATCCCATTGTATATATGTACCACATCTTCTTTATCCATTCATCTGTCAATGGACATTTAGGTTGCTTCCATGTCCTGGCTATTGTGAATAGTGCTGCCATGAACATTAGGGTGCATGTATCTTTTCGAATTAGAGCTTTCTCCACATATATATGCCCAGGAGTGGGATTGCTGGATTATATGGCAACCTTATTTTTAGTCTTTTGAGGAAACTCCATACTGTTCTCCATAGTTGCACCATGGCTGCACCAACTTACATTCCCACCAACAATGTAGGAGGGTTCCATTTTCTCCACACCCTCTCCAGCATTTATGGTTTGTGGACTAAATGCCTATTTGACATCTCCACTGAGATACCTAGTAGATACCTCAAACTTAATACACCTGTGACAATTTTAAAACATGTCCGCAAACTCTGTGATATGCTTTCCTTCAGAAGCGGAGCCTAATTCCTCTGCCCTTCAACGTGGGCTGGTTTTAGTGCAGTGAAGGTGATGGTGTGTAACTCCGGGGACTAGGTCACAAAAAGGCACCGTGGCTTCCATCTTGGTTGCTCTCTCTTTCTCTCTTTCTTGGATCCCTTGCTCTGGGAGAGGCCAGCTACCAAGTTGTGAGAACACTCAGGTAGCTACAGAGAGGTCCATGTAGCCAGGAACTAAGCCTCCTACCAACAGCCATGTGAGTGCACCATCTTGGAAGTGGATCTTCCAGCCTCAGTTAAGCCCTCAAGCCCCTATTGACATCCTGACTGGAACCTTAGGAGAAACCCTAAACCAGAACCACAGCTAAACCACTCCTGACCCACAGAAACTGGGCTAATAAATGGTTGTCTTAAGTCACTAAATATTGGGGTATTGTGTTATGTAGCAATAGATAACTAATAAATATCAAAACTAAACTTCTCATATTTTCCCCAAACCTGCTCTAGCTTCCGCCTTCCCTCTCTCAGATGATGGTAACTCCATCCTTCCAATTGCCCACACTTAAGAGTTTGGAGTCATCCTTGATTTCCCTGTGTCATACTTCACATCCGATCTCTCAGAAAATCCTGTTGGTTCTAACTCACCATGTATCAAAATGTAACACTGTCACCACTTGCACTGCTACTACCCGGTGGGTGCCACTGTCATCTCTCTCCCTGTTTCCATCCTTGCCTGCCTAAAGTCTAACCTCAACACAGGAGTCTGAGTGAGCCTTTAAACATGTCAGCTGGAGCAGGTGTCTCCTCTACTTAAAAACTTGCAGTGACTCCCCATGTCATTCAGAGTGAAAGCCCATCTTAGTCCGTTCCGATTGCTGTAACAAAAATACAATAGGCTAGTAGCTTATAAACAACAGAATTGTAGAATTTAATTTCTAACCTTCTGGAGGCTGGGAAGTCCAAGATCAAGGTGCCGGCAAATTTGTTGTTTGGTAAAGGCCCACTTTCTGGTTCATAGACAGCTGCTTCTCACTATAGCCTCACTCAGTGGAAAGGGTAAGAGAGTTTTCTCAGGCCTCTTTTATAAGGGCACTAATCCCATTATTCATGAAGGCTCCACCCTCAGAACCTAAGCACTTCCCAAAGACCCCACCTCCAAATATCATCAACATGAGGTTTAGGATTTCAATATACGAATTTTGCAAAGGACATAAACATTCAGACCATAGCAAAACCCAAATCCTTGCCATGACCTAGAAGGCTCTAAATGATCTGTGCTCCCCCTTGCATCTCCGACCTTACTACTATTCTC